GAGCTGTTACAATCTGCCATGGTGCAAGCACCTGTTCTACGCCCTACCAGACTTTCAACAACCCTTTGTACTGGAGAGTGATGTGAGTGAAGTAGGAATTTGAGCAGTTCTGTCACAAGTCTATCGCCTATAATAGTCAGGCCTTATGTACAAGGAAGCAGGGTCTTTCTATCTACGAGAAAGAATATTTGGCCGTCCTGTTAGCTGTTACTAAATGGAGACATTATTTAGAGGGTAGGACCTTTACCATACTTACTGATCATGAGAGTCTGAAACATTTATTGGGCCAGAACGTTCACACACAGATTCAAAAGAAAGAGTTGGTCAAGTTATTGGGGTTGGATTTTTAGATTAAATACAGACAGGAAAGGTTAAACAAGGTCATTGATGCCCTGTCTAGGCATCCCAACTTCTCTTCTACATCCAGAAGTTGCCAAGCTGTGTTTGCTGTGATTCCTACTTGGTTGGTCGAGGTGAAATCGAGTTATGAATGTGATCCCTTGGTTTAACAGTTGATGACAGAGGTTGCAGTACCAGTGGTGGGACCTAAGGTGCATTGCCTCAGACAAGGCTTGTTGTATCACAAGTCAGCCTCGGTTGTGGGAACAAATAGGTCTACGAGGATGCAGCTGTTGGAATTGTTTAATGCTTCCCCAACGGACGGGTATTCAAGGGTGCCAAGTACGTATCAAAGACCCAAAAAGTATTTTTGGTGGCCTGGAATTAAGAATGGTGTGAAGGAGTTTGTAGGAAGCTGTGATGTGTGCCAGAGATGTAAGTCAGAAAATGTTCCCTATCCTGAGTTGTTGCAACCTCTGCCTATACCAGAGAGGGCTTGGTAGCATATTTCTCTTGATTTTATTGAGGTCCTTCCCAAGTCAGGGTGGAAAAAAGTGATATTAGTGGTGATAGACAGATTCTCAAAGTTTGGCCATTTTTCTGCATTAGCAAGACCCTATACAGCTGCTAATGTAGCTTAGTTTTTTTTATGGAGTTTTCAAGCTTCATGGAATGCCTCAGCCTATTGTATCCGACAGAGATGCGATCTTCACCAGCAATTTTTGGACTAAGTTCTTTGAACTATAGGAAGTGGATCTTCACTATTCTACTGCATATCATCCTCAAACGGATGGACAAACAAAAAGATTGAATAGATGCCGGAGGATTACCTGAGAAGCAAGATTAATGAGGTATCACAGCAGTGGTCTTCCTGGTTATCTCTGGCCGAATGGTGGTATAACACCAATTACCAAAACAGTCTTAAGTTGACACCCTTTGAAGCCTTGTATGAGTATGCTCCAACATAGTTTGCAGTCCAGAATCCTTTATCAACCTCCATTGCAGCTGTGTCTGACAAATTGCAATATCAGTAGAGGTTAATATCTACTTTGAGAGCCAACTTGGTCATGGCTCAGAACTCTCAGAAGCAAATGGCATATAGGAATAGAACTGAAAGGAATTTCAAGTTGGAAGTAAAGTCTACCTGAAGCTCAGGCCCTATCGACAATTGTCTATGCTACCTAGGAGTAATCATAAACTAGCTCAAAATTACTATGGGCCCTTCGAGATTCCGAAGAAGATTGTAGCAGTAGCATACAGGTTGAAGCTCCCAGAGTCATCGACCATACATCCTGTATTTCATGTGTTCTTGTTGAAGAGGGCTCATGGGGATAAAATCCAAGCTCAAGTGCTCAACCGGACTGCTTGAACTTGATGATGTTGGAGGAATGAAGATTGAACCACTAGCAATTCTGGTGAGAAGAGTGGTTGCCCATAACAACTCAGCAGCAACTCAAGTACTGGTACAATGGTCACACCAAATGGAGGAAGATGCAACATGGGAGTTCCTGGTGGATTTCAAGTAGAAGTTTCCCCTATTCAAGACTTGAGGACAAGTCAGCTGCAAAGGAGGAGGGCTTGTAACGATTGGGGCTCAATTGTAAATAGATAACGATGGGGAAGGACCTAATTATGACACATGCAAACTTAGAGTGACCAAATTGTAATTGCAGGAATTATGAAAACTGAGAAACTCTGAACAACGGATAATAACAAACTTTTCCACCTTTTCTCTCTCTCTTTCACTCTTCCCTGTCCTTTCTCTATCTTGTTCTTCCACTTTCCCAACCCTTCTCTCAATTTCTAGCTACCAACAAAGCCGAGACACCTCAATCGACGCCCAGGGTGTGACACACGTCGAAGTCGAGCAGACACTAATTGAACGAGAACAACTGGTCGATTGAGCTGATACTGGAATGAGAACGAGAACGACTTCCTTTATGGGACCCACCTCCTTCTCCCTCTCCAATTTTGATATCGACCGCCACCCTTCCCTCCTCCTATGTCGGCTCACCGTTGCCACCATCGACGTTCTGCGTGAAGAATCACCCCTCTGGTTCGAGTTTGACGCAGTCCTCCAACCTGCAACGCCAGTCTCCCTCCTCTCCCTCTTTCAGCTTTCCCTACGCTGGCGACTTTTGGAATAGGGATTTTTGAGATCTTAGGGATGGAGAGGATTAGGGAGTTTGGAGATAGAAGGAGTTGTTGGGGGGAGATGGTTGGGAGAGGGAAATGATTGTTGCTGGGTGAGAGGTGTTTGGAAGTAGAGAGGAAGAGGAGGAGGAAGAGAAGGCATGGCGGAGGAGGAAGCGAAGAGAGAGAAGGGGAAAGTTGGAAGGGACGGTGGATCCACAAAAATCATATTTATTTTATTTTTATTTTTTATTAATCCACGTGGAGCTGACATGGGACCTGAGGTGGCAGCCACATCAACATCTCGTTAGTGTTACCGACGACGTCCCTAACATTGTTACAATTTGTAACGAAAGTGGCTAGATTTGTCATACAACATTCAAAATTCTGACTATTTTGTGTTTTCCAAAAGTTGTGGTCATATTTGCCGTAAATGTGAAGGTTATGACTATGAAAGTGTATTCTGCCTAAAAAATAAATTGATATATAAGTACATCTACATTGCTTTAAGATAAGATTTCTCTTCATTATTAATTGACTCGTATATCTTTCCAAAATCCGTTGAATTGTGGGCCGATATAAGTTAAGGGTTAGTTACCAATCAAATTTTCAAAGTAATGCTAGTGGATAATACTAGGGGTGGAATTCGGTACGGTATCGGTATCCCAATACCAAATACCGAAATCCCGAATACCGAATTACACCCTGAAATCAATCCCAATCTCAATCCCTAAATAATTTCGGTATCCCAATCCCAATCCCTAAATATCTCGGTATCCCAATCGGTACCTTGGTATCCCAATCGGTATTATCAAATACAAAATTAATTATATTCGCAGATAATAATTAAATATATAAATTAGATTTTATTGTTTAATTTAGGTCAAAGAGACTAAGCAAAGAGTCTTGAGTTGCCTAGAGCTAACATCTCAAGTTTTTGTAATTGATAATCTTTAATTTGATGAATTTGAGGTTGAGAGACGACTAATACTAGTGTGAAATAGTGATGCAATGATCTATGTATAATTAAATGACACTCTTGGTGGTTGAGGGTCGCGTAGTAGTGGATGAGAGAGTCTAGTTGAGAGGATAAAATACACACTAGCTTATATTTCGGTATTGATCGGTATTTCGGTATATATACCGATCCCAATCCCGTAATCCCTAATACCGAATAACAATTGAAACTCAATCCCAATACCAATCCCACAAAATAATACGTGTATTCGATAATACCAAATATAGTCAAATTCGGTACGGTATTCGGTATATCCCAAATACCGGTACCAAACTTCCAGCCCTAGATAATACCAAGAACATGCATCTACACATTGTTTTCACATTATTAGACCTAGTGATCTAGTGGGTTTGGACAATGCACTTGTAGGAGAGGCAAACAATCTGTAACGATAGAAATAGAATTGAATCTAACACAACTCGGAATGAAAGAAAGAAAGCTAGGGATGACAAACTCTGACAAACTGTCGCTAGGCATTCAAAAAATCTACAGCTGAAGAGATGGCGACAAATAGACAACCAAGAACAAGGGGAGTCGGTACTGAAGATGCTTTCCAGTCAACGTCTAGGCTTTTGTTTTTGGACTCATCAGGCCGAAAGATCTCCTTTCGGCCCAGGGTGCTCTATTTCTTCCCCACCCGACTGTTCCACCTCTGCGATCGAATCAAAATATTGCCGAAGGCACAAAGGAAACCGGAAGAACAGAGTAGAGTCGAAAACAGATTGTAAGCACAAAAGGAAGCCGGAAGAACAGAGGAGAGTCGAAAACAGAGTGTATATAAACCACCTCTATCGATCTCTCTTCTCCACGCTCACAATCACATAAAGCTAAAGAAGAAGAAGAAAACCCACTTCCAAAAATGCTTTCTCCTCCCCGCTCCGATCATACCCCAAAAACAGTGAATACTCTGTTTTCTTCAGCCTCCATGCATATGCAGAGGCAAAAAACCCGCATTGACAACTTTTTCAGGGACCAGAACCCAAAACCCCAGCCAGAGCAAGATTCTTCCATCGGAGATATAATCAGAATCGCCGCAGAAAAGTTCATAGATTCTTCTACGGAACCCACCGACCCACCAACCGGAAACTCCGACGACGACGACGCGGAACTCATATACCAGCTATTGCGTGCCGCCGATGAATTGGATCACAAGCAGTACGAGCAAGCGACCCACTTCCTCAATCTCTGTGATTTTTCGTCTTCCAAGACTGGGAATCTCGCTCAGAGGATCACCCACTACTTCGTCCAAGCTCTTCGCGAAAAGCTCCGTAACGAAACCGGCGGCGGAACCCATCCGGTAGCCGATCTCATGAAAAAATTCCAACGATTGAACGTCGAGGAAACAATGACTGCTGCATCCCCTTTAGTCGCGGTCCTGCACGAGAAAATCCCCTTCTTCCAAGTCGGTCAGCTAGCCGGAGTTCAAGCAATCGTGGAAAGCGTAGCGAAGGCCAAAATGATTCACATAATCGACCTTAAAATCAGAAATGGGATGCAATGGACGGCCCTGATGCAGGCTTTATCCACCACCGGCGAAGGGAAACGACGCCGTTGGGGTGCTCCAGAGATTCTGAAAATCACAGCCATCGTCACGGTGTCGGAAAATTTGGTCCGGGGAACAGGGGAAAGGCTAGCAAAGTTCGCCGAGTCGATGGAGATACCCTTCGAATTCAACTCCATAGTGGTATCAAGCTTGACCGAAATCGACGAGGCGCAATTCGACCTCGATCCCAGAGAAACCGTAGCTGTTTTCAGTGAGTACGCATTACAGGGTCTGGTTTCAGAGCCGAATGAATTGGAGGCACTGATGGGAGTTCTGAAGAAAATCAGTCCGAGCATAATGGTGGTGGTTGAATCAGAAGTGAACCTCAATTCCTCCAACTTCGCTCGCCGGTTCGTCGAAGTTCTGTTCCACTATGGGGCATACTTCGATTGTCTCGATGCTTGCTTGGAATCATCGTGCGATGATGATGATGGTGGCGGGTGTGGCTACAGAGATGTGATTGAGTCGATGTTCTTGAACAAGGTGACGGAGCTTTTGGTGAAGGAAGGGGAAGAAAGGCCGAGGGTCGTGACGATTGAAGTGTGGAGGAAGTTCTTTGGGCGGTTTTTGATGTGGGAAGTGGGGTTGAGTTCGTCGGCAATGGAGACCGTGAATCTGTTGCTGGGGAGGTTTGTGGGCGGCAAGTGTTGTACGTTGGACATGGATGGGAGGAGTTTGGTTGTTGGATGGAAAGGGACGCCTATTTTCTCGATTTCCACTTGGAAGTTCCTCCATTGAAAATAGGGGTGGGATTCGGTCGGTAAATGGTAAATTGTTTACCGAATTTACCGGTTTCGGTATACCGAAGTTGGTCAAATTGGTTACCGATTACCGATACCGGTTTGTAACCGGTTTACCGATTACCGAATTACCAGTAAACGTTTACAAACCGGTATTACCGAAATACCGTGAGAAGCGATTTCGGGCGGTTTTTCGGTCGGTTTACCGAATATTTACCGAACCGAATTTCTGGAAGTGGGATGATGTTGTAATATTTTGATTTTTTTGAGTTTTTTTCATCATTTTTGTAATTAATAATTTATTATTAACTCTTATTTACAATATTTTTGAGGCCTATACTTACTTACATTCATGTATGTAATATTTTATATTTGTGAATAATGATGTATATGTTATATGTTAGTGGAGTAGGGAGGGGGGATTTCGGTATCAGTATTACCGATTTACCGTCGGTATTTACCGATACCATGTCCGGTAAACCGACTCCCCCAACTTCCCGCTCGGCTGCCGATACTGCCGGTAAACGGTTCGATAAAACGGTAAACCGTTTACCGGATTACCGTTTACCACCCCTAATTGAAACTGGGGTTTGAAGATGGAAAGCTTTGTGGAGTTGAATAGAGAAGAAACAACGCAGAACTTTGAAGAAGAAAGAGTTGCAGAGCATAACATCAGCATACTTGATGAAGGATGTTGGGATTGAAGGGCGATTCGTTGTATGGGAAACATTTTGTTTCTTCTCCTAGAAACTTTATATCAATTGCTGTTTATTATTTACAGACCACTCTTTGTAAGCCATCTGGTACTTACTATTGCACTACACTTAATCTAGAAAGAGTATAAGTAGGCCAAGGTTTCCCAACTTGTAAGCTGAGGATTCACTTTGTCCTTTTTCTCCATCTTCTTCTCATACCTTCCAAATAGGGGTTGACGTTCGGTCGTTTTGGTTTGAACCGAACCGACAAAAAAGTACCAATGTTCTGAAGACAGTTTCACTCCAATCAAATTCGAACCGATCTATAATTCGGTTCGGTTCAACCAAACCGAATTATAGATTAGTTCAGTTCGGTTTTCCTGCCCAAAACCGAAATCTGCCTTATGTTTATATTTTGTTCTGCTACTCATCTGCTTATGCTGGTCGCTCGGTGATACGCCAAAACACAACACCAAACTGCGACCAAGTGTAATCGCAGTCCGGAAATGCAGTAACAGGCAAGTTCTATTATCAACCCGGGGTCTAGATCTACTGCTTACTCCGTGATTATCTATTATCTAGCCAACTAAGTCGAGTGATTTGTGTTTAAACTAAAAGCAGTAAGCAAACAGGAAATGGTTCGGTTTTCTAAAGCAGGAAAGAGTCACTCGGGAATGAATCCCCCTAGCCCCTTAGTTAGGTTCAATTGTAATTCCCCTGGGTTGATTCACTATTGATTAGAGTGCGGAAGATCCGACAGTAGCTTGGAATCTCTTAAGCTGACCAAGCCCTCTCAGTCTAACTACCCGGCATACGGCTAGTCTTCACCAGGATAGAAAGCTGAGGCTATGAACACAGAACTCCACTACTGTAATTGAATTCCAGTACAAAGCAGTAAACTGGCTAACTCTCGTATAACCAATCTCCTGCTATCGAATGAAGAGGCTCTAACAACCTAATCAGATTCTATCTATCTCAGGTTGCAGCAGAAATCAAGAAAAGCTGATCAGACTTCAATCAATCCAATAAACATGCATCATTCGATTAAAACCAAACAGTATAATCATCCCAAGTCATTACAATCAAATCCCTAACACCAGGAACTAGGGTTCTTCATACCCAAGTGAGAGAAGGGTTCTACTCCATAGAGAGAGAGAAGAAAACAGTAATCGGAGTAGTCATACTCATAATGATGAGGAAAATCTCCTCCGGGATGATGATTTCCACTCCTATGACGATCTCCAAGCTCGATTTGACGAAACCCAGCTCCAAGATAGCTTCTAGGATGTGTTCTTCGTACTTTCTCTCTCTAGGGCTCTGTTTTTGCTCTGAAAATCCGATTCCCTCCCTTTTGGCTCGAAATTGGTTGAAAAACCAAGATTTCCCGACTCACACGGGCAGGCCACACGGCCGTGTGGCTCACCCAGTTGCCCGTGTGAGTCAAAACGCATCGTATCAATTAGTTCGATCTTCAGGCTTCCCACTCGGCCATGGACGCACGGCCGTGTGAGATTTCCATCCTGCCCGTGTTTGCTCTCGGCAAAAATCACACGGCCACAATTGTAAGTTGCACGGCCGTGTGATGTCCCGGACTGCCCGTGCGGCTGCCTTAGCACCTTGCCACGCGTCTGATCTTCGTCCAATCGACCCCAAACTTGCTCCCAAGCCTCCATTCACGTACTAGGACCTGAAATATCACAAACAAGCACAACCTAGCGTGAAATCGGCCTAAAACACGAGAAATCACATCTCAAACGGTGTAAGAACAAGGGTATAAACATGTGTAATTAACGGTCTATCAAACTCCCCCACACTTAACCGTTTGCTTGTCCCCAGGCAAACCAAGTCAGACACAAGGTAAGCTTACATTATTCAATCAACCAACATTGGGGACAAGTCATAAAGGCATAGAACACGTGAATCGTACTGGTTTTCAAGCATCAACACATGAACAACTTCAATAGCAACCTGGACAACCACCACAAAGGACATTCGAGCGCAGAAAAATCGAGTAAAGGAAGAGTCTCCCTTCTATTCACCAACCAACCTAGACTTGACTCAACCACTCACTCAAAACAGTCAACTCATGAATCCAACTCAAGACATCAGAACAGAGACCGAGCAATCTAGGTCCTCACCGGGGTACAAGAGTATAAAGAATGTGAAAATGAATCACTCACTCTCGACCAGTGGGGTCAGGACGATTTGATGCGAAAAATGCGCATGCTATTTCTCTCAATCCCTAACATCTCTTCACCATGATGGCAGCCTCTAAATGCTAGAGTTCACATATGGGTTGTCATCACTAACTAATCAGGAGGTCTTAGACAGAGGTTCAAATGACTGGCTAGGGTCTTGGACATGGGGAAAAGGCCTTTTAGGTGGTGGAAGTATTCATAACACAAGGTTCCACATTTCCAAACCCACACAATCACAGTCAAACAAACCGGTATTTCCTTTCTGCTATTCTGCAATACTCAATATCTCAAGAGCATAAGAGCGAAGGAGGTATAAACATCAGCATTTCCAAGCCAGACTGCTAAGAAACACTACTTACTAGGCATTATTCAGATTTTTGGTAGTGGCTCTCTTTTGCTTTCAATTTTTTTCTTTGTTTTTCTTTCATTTTCTTTCCATTTCTTAAGAGAGCCACCACTTCTGCACATATTTCAAACACCTGCCCAACTTTTAAGTACTACCTCACATCAAATTTAGCAAAAACAGCAGAGAATATGTAAAAATCACTCTGTGGAACCTTCTAAAAGATGCAAAAGGGTGATTTTTTCATTAAAGACCAAAAGAAAGGATAACGCACGGCTTAAAGGGGCTGACTAGGGGATATGACACATCAGGACAGTCAAATTTGGTCGTGGGCTAATCCTATGCCCCCATCATCTTAGCTAGTGACAACGTGAATGCTACACATCATGGAAGAGGGATCTATCGCACAAGAAAGAAACGAGCAGGCTCAAATCTCACATGGCTACCTATATGCTCTATCTCACATTCTGATTCCCTGAACTAGATGCATAAACGACTGTCAAGAACAAGTGATTAAATCAAGTCACAGTTGGTAAGCAAACAGTTGAAAAACTGAACCCCCACATAATTCTACTGCACATCTCAGTCCTCATCATAGGTTGTCCTAGTCACAATCAAGCTGTCATGCATCAATCCGAAAACCATTCAATTCGTCAATCAAAACACAATGGCAATATGATCAAACAGCAGTACTTGGAGCCCTCAAATCGTAAGATTCGGACAGCGGACTAGGCTCCAAGCACACAGATATATATTCCAACCGATACAAAGCACCCCCCCACACTTAAGCACGACATTGCCCTCAATGGAGTAGAGGGAGAGATAAGGGGAACGATGTTACCGGATTGAAACACTGCTGGGGGACTGGAAGTGGACCAGTCAGCGAGAAACAAACGGGAAGATGGACAGTTCTGCACGAAACGAACACCAAGAACACACTGGCACACTGTGCGTTAGGGATAAGTGTTGGCCCAGACGGCCACAACATAAACAATCCACAAAAGAAAACCAAAACAAAAACAAACGACACTAAGTTCAAGCTCCTCACACATGGAGCAAACACACACAAGTCTAAAACGACAAACAAAACACACTGAGATGGGCAACGAGTACAGCCTACTCGTCGCCAAGATTATCCAGGTCGATGTCGTCCATGAAGGCGTCATCACCATCAGCACCATCATCACCATCCACTGGGGGAGGTGGAAGTGGAGAGTCCTCCCAGGGAGTCCTCCAGACGGGCTGCTCGCCCGGTAGCAGCTGGAGTAAGTGCTGCTGAACCTCCTGCATGCGCCTAGAGCGGCGCTTTTCCCGCTCGATGTGTGCGAGAGTCACCCCCTGCTGGGTCTGGATCATGTCCAGGCGCTCATCATAAGCAGCCATCCTCTGGTGGTACTCGGCCTAGTGAGCCGCGTACTGCTGCTGGAACTTCATCTGATGGTCGAGGATCTGCTGGTTCTGGAGACGCAGCTGCTCGAACTGGGAGGTGAAGTAATCCTGCCCCGGGAAAGCGGAGCTGCCACCTCCGTAATGGAAGTCAGTCTGTGGTGGATCAACAGCAGCGTCCACATCATCTGGGTGGACATCCTCACCTGCCTCCTCCTCCTGGCCCTCTGGATGGTCCTCCGCGGGGATCTGAGGTTCCGGAAACCCCTCGATCCATAGAATGCCGCGGTTCTCTCGCAGCAGGTGCATGTGACGGATCGTCGACCGGCCAAAGACGACGGTGTCCCCCTGCTGTGTGCACCCCTGCAGTGAAAGC